AAGAAAGTGATGCAAAGAAAAAAATACTGAAGGAAATATGGAGTATACAGAAACAAAGGCACCAAATGGGTAAATATCTAAGATTGTCTTTATCATTATTTCTGTTTTTAAAAATATGAATGGCTGCTTACTTAAATAAAACCAGTGAGATATGGAATTATAATGAATACTTAAGGAGAGTTAATGACCACAGTAATATAAAGATGTAGAACAGGAGAATGGAAATTATCAAAAGTTTCTTATAATACACAGGAAGAGTATAATATCAGTTGAGCTATATAATAATAAGTTAAGCTGTAAAACAAACAGTGAAATAACAAACCAATTACAGCTATAGATAGAAAGAAATGGCAATGGATATGCTATTTCTAATTTAAATTAATCTAAAGGTCAGGGGAAAAAACCGAACAAAGTAGACAAAGATTTGGACAAATAGAGCAAAAGGAACACTATGACATGTCAAATCCAATTGCAATAATATTCATTTTAAATGTAAATGTCTGGGTTGGCAAGATGGGAGAACAGGAAGTCCCCTGCTTGTACCCCCACAACTCTTAAGAATTTGGTAATCATACATAGGCTTGTGTCTTAACCAGGTGCATTGCAACCTACAGACCCAGCTGCAGATTCAACAACAGCTGTGTGACTCACTTCCACTCCACTGATCCTTGAGACAACCCCATAAACCCAACAAGGAGACAATAGGAAAAGACCTTCAGTTGATGAAACCAGTCTGTGAAGAAGAGAAGAGATATTCATTCTCTAAATGATAGACACTAACTCAAGATTATTGGGATAGTAAGGAGCCAGCAAGATGCTACAGACAACTGAAATCAGGGAAACAATGCAGGAACAAAACCAAAAGTTACATCTAAAAATAGAAACCATAGAAATTCTAGAGCTGAAAAGCATAACGATAAAACTGAAAGACACAGAGCAAAGCTTCAATGAAGATGAGACCAAGACCATGCAGAAGAAATAGCAAGAACATTTTTCAAATATTTTTAAATGATTTCAAATGTAACTTGTGCAATTAAAGAAACCAAAAATGAAAAGTGAAAAACTCAGAATGTATCTATAGGATGAGATTAAATAAGCAGCTACGTGAGTTATGGGAGATTTTGGAAGAGGAGAAAGAGTTACTATGGCTATATTTTAACTTAAAAAAGTAAAAAATAATAAATTAAAAAGGAAGAATAGATTAAAATTTCTACATTCTAAGAGATATATGCAACCAGATACTTGAAACTTAAGTCTCTAATGAAAAAAAGTCAACTAATAATATCAGTAGACACAGAACAAGCTGTCAAAAGAGAAGAGGTTGTCTTAAAAGTAGAGAGAGAAAAGAGATGTATACATAGGTCAGCTGACTTACCAGCTAAAACTTTAAAAGAGATAATGGGATGATACAGTCAAGGTACTAAAAACCAAATTAAAAAAAAAAAAAAACCCACAAGAATTCTATACCCAGCAAAGCTATCCTTTAGAAAAGAATGAGAGACAGTGGTAAAGACATAAAAGACATTCATAGACTAAAAAATCTGGGTGAGTGTGCTGTAATTATATGTGACTCACAAGAAATTCAATGGAATGAAACTAAGTAACAATATGAGAACTTCTGAAAGTATAGAACTCATCTATTTGATAAGGTAAATTATTAAAGATTGGTACCAATCAACACACGAAAAGACAAGGTTCTGAATTTCATAACCCCTCACACACTGAAATCCTGAGACCCAAATATCCAAAGATAAAAATCCCAAGTCATACTAACAAAATATTTAATGTTCCAAATGTTGAAATTCTGAAAGCCTACAGTCTGATAATGGCCATTTCCATGAAAACTGAAAATACTATGTAAAAGGAATAGAAAGCTGAATTCTGGTAAAGAACTCATGCTTTCTTTGGTTGTGCCCAGAGCAGTTGCCAAATTATTCAATCATGTATTGTCTGTGCCCCTTTCATACACAGTGTGTCAGGGAGTGAAGTGAATTTGGGTCAAAGACATTTGCTGATTAGTCCCCTGCCGTGTGACGAAGCAGACTGAGAAGTGAGTAGAGTCTTGGTTAGTGACTCGGCTGTTGAAAGAGGCAGACTTCTCCTACTAACTACTAAATATAACACAGACAAACTACTGCATGCTTTGCTGCAGCTGGCCATTGTATTTTCAAAACTGTTTCCACTATGTTTAAGTCAGATACACACAATGTGTGCACCACCAGGGAAAATCAGAGAACCTAGCCACTTGTTTCTGTATTGTGAAATGAAAGTGAAGCATCCTGGATGGTATCGGAATGTTTTGCAGACTTTGATTTGAGAAAATAAACTTCATCTGAATCCGTGGTTATGACATACATGGACTCAAAGAGTCTAAAGGTGAATTTCAATGTGTTACCAATCAGGTTGGGTTTTTTTCCCTCATTCAACCCAGGGTATTTGGTGGAAATTTTTGACAAGTGAATTGGCCACATGATAATGACAAAAATTTTAATGTCAAAATGCGTCATTTGTCTGCATTGACATTCCTTCCAGCTGATGAAAATCCAGGAGCTCTTAATGAATTCAAGCCACATTTGCAAGAAGCCAGCAGAGTTACTGGCCAGTTTGAAAGTAATTATGTGCAGGGTAGGGCAAGAAGGCACTTACGCAATGGTGTTTTTTGATCACTAGTATTGTTTCCATAAAATCTGAGGTCTGTATATGAGTAAACAGGGAATGGATTTCTCTATGTTCCCAAAACAGCACAGAAGGGTGGCCCTAGCTGTGGAAAAATTACATAGGGAATATACACATTGGTGGATTCCAGTTCACAGAAGACTATCAAGTAGAGCAGCATTGCAGAGCAAATGAGAGTGAATATGTTCCTCAAGGACAGCCATGACCTTAACAAGTCAGCTTTGCCATGATGTAGGACTTGAAAGTATGGTTAATGCTTGTAAAAGACGGCCCGCGCTAGGAGAACCACCTCATTGAACTGCTCATAATCGATGACTCTATCCTACTTTTTCATCATAAATTTCCCCTTGGTCTTTTTCTTATTTTATAGTTTTTCTACTATTTTTAATTATCAGCATTTCTTACCATCCTATGCTATACATTTTACCAATCCATTTTTTTCTAATATGGGAGCTTATAGGTTATAAAGACCTCTAGAGAGTTCTAATCTAATTCACTTTGTGCCTTTTTTTCTTTCTCTTTTTCTTTTTTCCTTTCTTCTCCGCCCCCCACTTTGGCTGATTTAACTCCATAAAAGTACATTATCACAAAGTTGGCTTTGTGTGTAAGAATTCTGCATGTTTATAAAAAAAACATCAAAATCTCTTCAATAAATGAAGAAAGGTCCTTTTTGTATATCTACATTTGTGAACCATAAAATTTCTAGGATCACATTTTGCCTGAGTCCACAGTCACTGGTGACCAACCATGAATTTATTTTGGAGACTGAGGTTCCTTTTATTAGTTCCAGGCAATTTTGTGGGAGAAGAAGACAATTTTGTGAAGCTGCCAACAAGCCAAGTGCAGTTGTGTGGGCTCATTCACATGTCCAAAATGTGGTTGATATTCCAAACATTACCCCAAAGAGGCTGGAACATCATGCCCAAACCAGGGAATATTCCAGAGGTGCTGCAGACCTCAACACAATGCCACATGGAGGCAAGAGGGGCTGTGGTTCTGAGACAATAGGGTTGGTAGAGAACGCAGACAAAACCAGATCCTGGACTGAAGCCCTAGCTCGCTCCAGCAGCCTTCAAGGCTGCTGCTGATGGCCATCCACTACTATTGTCAATGCAAATCATCCTGCCCCAACCACCAGTTCCTTTAGCCTTCAATGCAGTAAAATCTATACTGTGTCCCTTGACCTGGGGAAGGGTCTCAGTGCAGCTCAGTTGCTACCTCTGCTGTAACCGCTATCCAAGTGTGTGTCAGCTGGCCAGAGGAGAACCCAGAGGTTTGGAGTTCAGGGTGAGCTATCTTTCTTTTCCCCAGGGTCCCTGGGAATGAGTGATGGCTGGCTTTGTGATCAAGAATGGCCACTTTTGACTGATCTCCATTACCACATTACCACAGGTGACTGCACATATAAAGTTGGTGAGCACAATTATCAGCTGTAGTGACATGTGTTTATACAGTTCACTTCAGGGCTATTTTGTCCATGACTGATTTCACTGTTGGTGACCTTTATGTTCGTGATAATGCCATCAGAGTACTTGAACATTATGCTTGTAAAACTACATCTTTCCTTACTGCCTATTTTGTTAGGTAAGGTGGTATGTTTTCCATGTTTCTCAAATCTTCTTTTAAATGTAAATGTATGTCTCTTAAAGAATTTTAAGTCGTACTTGGAGGATTTTGATCTTTGAGGATTCCAATATTCAGAATTATTGTCTTCAGTACTGCATATTTGTGAATCATGGCCCAACCTCCAAGGCAAATGTAAAATCAAGTTGAAATATGGAAACACAACAACTTACAATAGTTTGGCTTCTGACTTTAAACTTTATGATGGTGTGAATTAATATCCTCCCATTAGGATTAGAAAAAAAAAACCTGCTGGGTGGTGGTGGTGCATGCCTTTAATCCCAGCACTCAGGAGGCAGAGCCAGGTGGATTTCTGTGAGTTCGAGGCCAGCCTGGTCTCCAAAGCGAGTTCCAGGAAAGGCGTAAAGCTACACAGAGAAACCCTGTCTGAAAAAAAAAAACCTAAAGGGAGAAATAGACTGAAGTACAATAATAGTAGGTGATTTCAGTGCCTCCTTTCCAACAATGGATAGGTCATCTGAACAGAAAAAAGAAATTATGAAACAAGTAGGGCAGGCAGTTATAGACAAAACAGTTCATTAAGGAACAAAATATACATTTGACTCAAGTGAATATGTTGTATTCTCCAGGATATTATAGAACTGAGAAAAGAAATAAAGTTTTTTTTTCTTTTCATTTTTTGTTTGTTTTAGGGAAAATGGGGAGACTGAAACAATGGCTCAGCAGTGAAGAGCACTTACTGCTCTTGCAGAGAACTGGAGTTCAGTTCCACCAGCATCCACACTGGGCAGTTCACAACCACCTGTAGCTCCAGCTCCAGTAGATCTGATAGTGTCTTCTGGCTTCCACTGGTACCTACTCGTATGTACATATAAAATCCACAACACACACACACACATACACACACACACACAAATAAAAATAGGAGAAATATTTTTAAAAGAAGAAAGACATTGTATCGGGCATTTTTTCAAACACAAATGAAACTATAAATCATAACAGAAGTAACTTTCAAAAATTCAAAAACGTGGAAATCAAGCAATGTTCTCCTGAAAAAATCAGCAAATAAAAAAACAGCAAGAGAGAAATATAAAAGTATCTAAAAAGTAAAAATTAAATCAAACCACACCAAAAGCTATGAAGAGCAACAGACAATCATAAAATGGAAATTTGAAGCAATACATACTCACATTCAGATAAATACTGAGTGTAGTCATGCCTACTTGTGCCCCTAGCACTCCAGAAACTCAAATAGAAGGCTAAAGAGCCAGAAGCTAGTCTGAGCTATGTAGGGAGATGTTGCTGGGTCCTAACAGCTCCTTTGGGGACAGGGTGAGAAGGTGCAGAGTCAACAACACAGATTCCGGGAGTCGGGTGAAAGGCAAACAGCAGACTCCTTTATTCAGTAATGGGGAAAGCCTTATACACCCTCCTCCCAGCACCCAGGCTGTGTCCTGATCTGGTGACATTGTGTGGTCATTCCTCATTGCCTGGGCATAATCAGGAGCTCTGGAGAGCAATCTGGTGACATTGTGGGGTCCTCCCTCATTGGCTAGGCACAATCAGGAGCTCTGAACAGACTCTATCTGAAAACACCAGATCTAATCAAAAGGAAGGTAAAAAGATCACAAAAAAATTAATAATAGACTTCAAGGAACCAAACGAGAGCAGCAATAATGGCAATAATAATATGCTAATTTAAATGTTATCAGAAGGCAAGAAACAATAAATAATAAATGCTGTTTTACCCTCCTCATATCAGCTGTACTTTAAACTACTAGCTGCCCAACCGCTAAGGCCATAACCTGGGGGGAATTCTGTTTCCCAACACAATGGCTCTGTGGCTGCCACTAAAGGTAGTGCTAACTAAATCTCTATCCTTCTAATAAAACAAAAGATTCAAAGGCTAGAGTGAAAACCTGTGAGCTCAGAGAGTTAGAGTACCAACTGGCTAACTTTCTCTTTGCTGGCATCCTGGAAGCCGCTCCCTTCCACACTGCCCCAATGAAAGAAATCCATGTTAAGCTCCTCCCTGCTACTTCCTGTCAACCAGTTGCTAACCCTGCCCCTCTGAGCCCAGGTTAATTTTATTTAATTAGAGCAAATGCAACACATCTTTACATAATTAACAAATGCAGCATGAACAAATGTAACACAGCTTTGCCTAGTTAAACAAATATTTAACAACAAATAAATATTAAAGTAGAATAATTGAAATAGAGAATAGAAAGACCATGCAAAAATTAAAGAAAAAAAACACTCAAAAACTAACAATTGTCTTTCTAAAAAGACAAATGAACAACTCTGTAAGTATCTATCCAGAGGCAAAAAGTTTTAAATAAATAAAAGTATACAGGAGAGATTATGTCTATAGAAACACAAAGATTATGTCTATAGAAACACAAAGGATCATAAGACATAGCTTTAAAAAAATTTATACCAACACTTAAGTAACATGAAATAAATAGGTAAACAACTTACCAAGACTTAAATGTGAAGAAATAGAACCTCTCAACACACACCAATAATACATAAACAGATTGACGTAATAATCAAAAACTAGATGGGTGGTGGTGGTGCATGCCTTTCATCCCAGCAGTTGGGAGGCAGAGACAGGTGGATCTCTGTGAGTTCAAGGCCAGCTTGGTCTACAGAGTGAGTTCCAGGACAGCCAGAGCTACACAGAGAAACTCTGTCTTGAAAAACTACCCCTCCCCAAAATAACTTAAAACTTAAGAAATAATTTAAATACTTTCTAACAAATAAAAACCAAAAACAAGTGGTTTATGACTAAAACACTAATATCAATACTTCTCAAGCTCTTCTAAAAAGTTGAAAAAGAAGGAAAACACCCAGACTCATTTTGTAGAGCCAACATTACTTATGACCAAAATCAGACAATGATACTATAAGAAAAGAAATCTATAGGTCAACATTATTGATAGACATAGGGACTGACTCCTCAACAGGACAGTAACAAATTAAATTCAGTCATTTATTTTGAAAGAGATCATTCAACTTGACAAAGTAGAATTTCCCATTGGAATGTGTGAATGTACTGTTTTAGTGTGAAATGTCCCCATAGACTTGGGTAATTTGAACACTTGGTCCCCAACGGTTGGTGCTGTTTGGAAAGTTGACAAACACTGGGAGATGAAACTTCACAGGAGAAAGTGTGTCACTGGAGGTAGGCTGTAAGGTTTTATAGCCCAGACTCTCTTCCCGTTGGTTCTCTGCTTCCTGGATGCAGATACAACGTGACCACATCAAACTTCTATGGCCATGCCTTTCTTGCCTGTAACCCTGAAACTGTAAGCCAAAGCAAACTCTTCATCCTTTAAGTAAATTCTTGTAAGGTGTTTGGTCACAGCAACAAGAAACGCAATTTATTCTGAAGGGGTTAAACACTCCTACTTTCACAACTGAATTTAGGTTCCAGTTCTCTGAGAAGGGCAAACACGTGTCTTTTCCAACAAAGGACCGTATTTATCTACAAGGTCCTTACATTCAGGGTCGAGGGAGAGAACAAACACAGAGGGTCTAAGTCAGTCTCACAGTATCTTAAGGACAAACCAGCAGTCCTCTTCTGAGTCATGTCCAAGCTTGTGCAGATGTGTCCACAAATGAGAAGACTAAACCTCAGCCGATTAGAAATAGACTAATGTAACTGCTGCTTGCTTAACCAATTATGTAGCTGACCCTAAAATTCCCCTCAGCTGTGCTTAAAATGAGCCTACATGTCCCTCTCGGGGTCGTTGCCATTTTGTACAGGTGAACAACCCCACATGCATGCTGGTATAATAAATACTCTTTGTTCTTTCATAGTATTTGAGTCTGGGGTCTTCCTTCAGCATTTCCTCGGACCGTACAATACAGAAGTCGGTGTCAGGAGTGGGGTTGCTGCTGTGATAAACCTTTGGAAATGGTTTGGGAGGACTCAGGAAATCTTGGAGCTGCAGGCTAGAGGAGCTCCAGAATGATTGCTGTAAAGCAGAGCTTGATGTGCCGTTCTCATTGACATTTGGGAGATGAGAATTCTGAGAGAAATGAGACAGTGGAGTACTGGCTCTTGAGGCTTCAGAGAGGAATCAGCGGTTAATAGGGAACCAGGCTGGAGGTCATTCATGTGATATTGTGGCAAAGAATCTGGGTTCATTTTGGCCATTTCTAAGAACTTACATGGGGCTGGATTCAAAAGTCACAGGCTAATTTGTTCGACAATAGTCAGTTTCAGGCTGTGGCATGGTTATTGCACACTACTATTCTCCTATGGTGAAAAAGAGCAGCAGGTGGAGCAGAAAAAAGTATATAAATCATGCAATTTTATGAAGAAAAGAGCATGAACAAATTTAATGTTGTAGATAAGGCAGATCCCAAGACAGCAGAGAAACTATTGAAGAGGTTAACATCATAAAAGAGTAACATTTTTTTCTGTCCCAGGACAATAAGAAAAGCGCCCTGAGGATAAGACCACAACCTTTACACATTCCATCTTAAGATGATGCAAATACATTTGCAAGGAGAGACCTTGGATTGAAAATACAACTAAAGGGATTCCCTAATCAAAAACAGTTGCCTAGAAACGTGTTTTCCTGATTCAGCAACCAATACATACAGAGGCCAGAACAGTTTTGGCCCGAGCAAGGGCAGGCTATATCTAGCTGACAGCATAACTTGATAGTGTCATCCATGAGGTACCAATTTTGCAGCAAAATAAAGCCAAGCTAGCAATGCAGATCATAGGCTTTTGGAGATATCAAAATTATAGGATGCCCATCGAGAAAAGTCACAGTATGGAATGGAGCTGGGCCACAAGAGAGGGCACGTTTGCTGTGGGTGGCAGAGGGGAGAGCTTTGTTGTTGCATTCTAGATGATTTCATCATGAGGCCCAGATGTCAGACACAGAGAAGTCAAATTGTTGTTTGCCTTAATGGGATTTGGTCTCTCCTTGCTATGTCCCAATCCTACCTTTTGGAACAGTAATGTTGACTTCAGGTCATTGTATGTTGGAAGTATATACCTTGTTGTTTGGAGGGGTTTTGTTTGTTTGTTTGTTTATTTGTTTGTTTTAATGTAACAGGGACACTCACAGTTAAGAGCCTGCCTTGAATCTCAGAAGAGATCTTTGACCTTGAACAGTCTTTGGATTGTTAAAGACCACAGGAAATTTTAAGTTGGAGAGAATGCATTTCAAATCATAAGATTGTCGTGTCTATGAGGGCCAAAGGAGCAAGGCTGTGGTTTAAATATGAAAAGTCCCCCATAGGTTTCTGTGTTGAAGTATCTGAGCCTCAGTTAGTGATGCTGCTTCAGAAGGCTCTGGAACCTTGGAAAGGTGGACTCTTGCTGTAGGAAGTAGATCGCTGTGGGAGGATGGTCTTACGTCCTGGTCTCACTTCCCACCTGCTGTCTGCTGCCTGCTGCCTTAGACACAATGTCACCAGCTGCCTCATTCTACTGCCGCTGTCTTCTCTGCCGTGATGGGCGGTGACCCTTCACACTGTAAGCCAGATTAGACTTGCTCCCTCTCTAGTTGCTTCTCATGGGTATTTAGTCACAGCAAACCAGTGCAAACTGCTTGATACATGCCAATCGATAAACATGATAGTGTGATGAAATAGACAAAAACTATATAATCACCTCAATAGATGGAAAAAAAATTGACAAAGCTGGATGTCCTTTCACGATACTAGCAAAGTATAGAAGTAATGTATCTTTTGTTGTTGTTGTTTGGTTGGTTGGTTTGGAGACAGGGTTTCTCTGTGTAGCCATGCCTGTCCTGGAACTCACTCTGTAGACCAGGCTGGACTCAAATTCAGAGATCTGCCTGCCTCTGCCTGGAATTAAACGCATGTGCCACCACCACCCGGGTATGTTAACATATGTTAATCTAACAAAGGCCATATATGACATGCTCATAGAAACATTATACTCAACTGTTAAGAAAGACGAAGCTTTTCCTTTCTTACATCAAAACAACACAAGAAAGTTCTTTGTGCTGGTACCGCTCAACATACAGTTAGTACTGGATAGAACAATAAGAAAGAGAGAATTAAATAATTAAATCAAAGGTATACATGTTATAAAGAAAAACGTTAAATTGACATGATCTTTCATATAGAAAGTTTTAAAAGTCTATTAAAGAAGATCGTTAAAATTAATTTTAAGGCCACAGAGTCAACCCACAAATATCAGTAGCATTTCTATATATTAACATCAGACTAATAAAAAAGAAACTGTGAAAAACAATTCATTTACAATACCAACAAAAACATTGTAACATTTAGGAATTAATTTAACCAGGGTGATAAAACATTAATATACTGAAAACCATAAAAGATCGGTGAAGGAAAGCAAATAGACAATAAACAAATGTCCCTTATCATGGATTTGAAGAACTGATATTAAAATTTCTGGGCCAGCAGGATTGTCCAGTGGGCAAAGGTCCTCGCTACCAAGATTGAGGACCTAATTTCAAACCCAGGAATGAATGTGATGGAAAGAGAGAATCAACTCCCCCAAATGGTTCTCTGACCTCCTCATGTGCTCCATGACACATATGCCTATACATATGACACAAAATGAATAGATATAAAACATATAAATAAAATGAGATACCCGTACTACCCAAAGTTATATACAGATACAGTGCTATCACTCAAAATTCTAATGACATTTTTCACAGTAGTAGAAAAAATATCAAAAATTTTTTAGAACCACAAAATAGTCCAAATAGCTTCCAAAAAACTTTATATAAAAGAATAAAGTTAGAGGCAGCATAATTCATGATTTTACACTTAGTGAAAGTAACATTTAAATATATAACATTTAAGTCAAAATAACTTGATAATGGTACAAAAATAGATATGTGGACTAATGCACATAATAGAGACCCCCATAAATAAAATTCAGATGCAGTCAGCAAATCTTTGTCAAAGCTATCAAGAATACCCCATGAGGGAAAAGACAGGCTCTTCAATAAATAGTATTGAGAAAACTATCCACATTAAAAAAAAAAGAAAGAAAGAAAAGAAATCAGGGCCTTAGCTAATATTAAACAACAACAACAACACAAAAATTAATTTAAAATAAATTAAATACAAATACATTAGAAGAAAATTTGTTTGTTTATTTGTTTGTTTGTTTGTCTGTTGTATGGCAGTACTGCTCTGGGAGACTGTGAACCACTAGAAAATGGGACTCCCCTGGAGGATGTGGGTTGCTATGAGGGTGAACCATCAGGCTTAGAGGTCTTTCCTACATGTGACCATGTCACAAGTCACACTGCAAGCTTCCACCACTACAGAACACCACCTCCCATGTCCCCCATGAACTAATTTCATCTGTCAGATATTTTCTTCTAGAAGATACATATGTTAATTTGTTGAATCTATACATTCCACGATGTCATCTATTTTAAATTATATTGTATATCATAGTTATATAAAATTTCGTACTGTGTTGTGATAATTGAAAGTAACTTTTTCATGATGATGGTCATTCTGACTGAGGTGAGATGGAATCGTAATGGAGTTTTACTATGAAGTACCTTGATGGCTAAGGATGCTGGGTTTTTGTTTGTTTGTTTGTTTGGTTGGTTGGTTGTTTTTTATTCATTGGCTGTTTATACTTCATCCTCTTTGTGAACTGTCTATTCATTTCATTTATTACTTAGGTTTTTTGACTTTAGAGTATTCAGGGTTTTTAGTTCTTTATATAGTCTAGGCATTGGACTTCTGTCAGACATGTAGCTGGCAAAGATTTCCTCTTGTTCTCTCTGTTGTCTCTTCGCTAGATTATTTTCTTTCTTTCTTTCTTTCTTTCTTTCTTTCTTTCTTTCTTTCTTTCTTTCTTTCTTTTTCTTTTCTTCCTTCCTTCCTTCCTTCTTTTCTTTTTTCTTCCTTCCTTCCTTCCTTCCTTCCTTTCTTTCTTTCTTTGTTTTCTTTTCTTTTCAGAAAGTCTCTCCCTATACCTATATCTTGATACACTTCCCTGTGTTTTGCTCTAACAGACTCTGGGTTCCAGGTCTTACATAAAGTCCTTTGACACAATTGAATTGATTTTTGTGCAGTGTGAGAGATGCGGATCTAGTTCCGTTCCCCTACACGTGGACACCTGGCTTTCCTGGGCACAGCTGTTGAAGAGGTTTCTTTTCTCCAATGTATGTATATTTTTTTTTTTTTTTTGGTTTTTTCGAGACAGGGTTTCTCTGTGTAGCTTTGTGCCTTTCCTGGAACTCACTTGGTAGTCCAGGCTGGCCTCGAACTCACAGAGATCCACCTGCCTCTGCCTCCCAAGTGCTGGGATTAAAGGCGTGTGCCACCACCGCCCGGCTTCCAATGTATATTTTTAGCATATTTGTAACAATGTCTTTTATGTGTAAAAGGCCCTAAGGACTCTGTCAGAAAACACTTAGAGCTAATAAACACGTACGGCAAAGTAGCAGGGTCAAAATCAACAGACAAAAAATCAGTACCTTTCCTATATACCAAAAAATAATGTGCTGAGAAAGAAATCAGGAAATAACTCCATTAATAATAATAATAATATACATAGGAATAAACCCAATAGAGGGAGTGAAAATCTCTACAATGAAAATTGTAAAACACCAAAAAAGAAACAGAAGACACTAGAAAACTGAAAGACTGCCCATGACCATGGATGGGCAGAATTAATATTGAAAAAAATGGCTATGCGATTAAATTCAATCTGTAGATCCAATGGAATCACCATCAAAATCTCAATGCTATTCTTCACATAAAGAGAAAAAAATTCCAAAACTCATATAGAAGCCAAGAAAGAAAGAAAGAAAGAAAGAAAGGAAGGAAGGAAGGAAGGAAGGAAGGAAGGAAGGAAGGAAGGAAGGAAGAACCCAGATAGGCCAAAGCCATCCTGAGCAAAAGGAACAATGCTGAGAAAGAAAAAAAAAATCACACCAGACTTCAAGTTATACGACAGAGCCACAGTGACAAAAAGACAAAAGCAGCCGAGGAAAAGAAACCTATGTATAACTCAGTCGACGAGGTGACCCAGATTCACACGCAGATGGCTACCACCTCCCTCCCTGGATTTGGACAGATATATATCCATAATGGCATGTATCATGAATATTCAAATTTAACAAAAGGTATCAAGTCTACTAATGAAAGACTGAGTCTTGGGATTGAGGTCAGGCAGGCCTGAACTCTACACAGCCATTATCTACTTACAGGCACTCATAATTTCTCTAAACCTCGATGCTTGCATCTGGGAGAACATGTGACTATTCCCTGCAAGAACATATAGGCATTTCTGAAGAAGTCTAAATAGGTCGTAAAATCTAAGACAACCTTAATTCTAAGGTGCTCTATGTTGTAGGCATCAAAAATGGTGCAATCATGCCAGGCAGGGTTTTGTGGTTTCAGATTCAACAACCACATTGTGATTGAGTGAATTTGAGTCTCCTAGGATGAAGCGTGGGGATTCTTTTAATTTCCCACATTACTGTGATGACCTAGACAGTCAGATGTCATGGTATCTGGCAGACTGCTGGTCAATGCGCTGAACGACCTAACCTTTATTTTTGTTTTGCTTTGGTTTTTGATGGGAGGTGTTGCTGTGCAGCCTAGACTGGCGTTGAATTCACTGTCTTCTTGCCTCTTTCCTCAAGGTGGGGATTATAGTCGTGCTCCGCCACATCTCCCTCTAACTCTAATTCCAAATTGCACTCTGCAGTTCTTAGTTTCTCAGATATTCAGGAGGAAGCCTGGTTTTCAGGCTTTGCCCCCCTGCAAAAGAAAAACCCATTGGCAAAATTCTTTACATTTTCTGACACATTAGTAGAGTTCCAGAAACTTTCACTCAGATGCCTCAAAATAAATACTTTGGTAGAAAATGTAAACCCCAGTGTTCCAGAGCAGGAATGCTGTAGGACACATTTCCTTAGAAGTTGCCCTTCTGAGAGGGCTTCCTGACTGTAGTGTGAGGCTCTGAGCCCAGCCCTGTGGTCCCCATTTCTTTGCTTAGCACTAAAGAGCTATTGGTTCCTTGCGTACATTTTAAGCCATCCTTGTTAACCTTTTAAAGAAACTAATTGAATCTTTCCCAACATGATTTTTCTTAATGTCCATGATAGGACTTTGAGTAATAATGACGACACTGTCAACCACAGAAGAAGTGAATGGCACCGCTGTGAGGGCTCCTCTGGCCTGTCTCTGCACAGACAAGCAGCCTGCCATCCGTGCATCTTTTCACACCCACACCATGCTCTGGGAGCTCACACTCCAACTGATGCCACCCGAAGAACGCAAGTGACTCGTCTGAGGCCACAACAACTGAGGCTACAGAGCATGAGCCCAGTGCTCCGAACCCCAGAGCAGCGTGGGCATCCTTCCACACCCAGGTCTGATGAGCACACCTCAAGGAGTCTTCAAAAAAAAGTCCAAACCAGTGGGAGCTGCGAGTCATACCTAGAGCCTTCACAGCACCTCAGTGAGTGCCTCCACTCCAGCAGCTCCAATGAGCCTTGGCTGACTCCTACAGAAGGCACATACCAGATCTGCTGCATATTGCCAGGACTTTAGCTCAGAATATCCTTCAAATGTCTCCCATTGATCACTGGCAGCCTTAAAAAAGCACAGGCAGGGAGCTATTCCCGGAGATCTAATTGCTCTATGTGACACTTTACAAGGGGCAGCTTATGGCTTTCCCTCCCAAGCCCTTCCCTCTGTGCCCAGATCCAGAATAAACGCCTTCCCTAGCATGTATGCGGAATCCAGGGAGGGCGGGCTGGGCTGCAGGGAGAATTTCGGGGCTTCTTTCCCGGGCAAGGCCACTGCGCCCTTGTGTACATCTTGCCAAGTTCTTTCTCCTTTGGTTTGAAAACCCTTGTGTATTCCAAAAGAAATGCAACCCATGTGTTTCTGATTCATTTACACTTAAATCATTAAAATATTGTTTTGTGAGAGTTATTTGATGTCTAAAGAGCCTGACAGTCTACTTAATGGGAATTTTACAGGCTTTTCTTTTTATCCTGCCTGAAACAGAGAACACTTCTCTCAGACAACGTTGGAGTCCAAACCTCCCTCCTCCTCACACACACTTGCACCTGCACTATCAACCACACACAGCCTGGTAGTCATGCCAAGCACACAAGGCTAACACTCAGGAGCTAAAAATAGAGAAATTGTGGAGAAAATGGGCAAGAATTACAGTAAATGTCAAGTCATTGCCCGCCCCCCAAATATGTCAAAGGAGTGCTATCTAAGGGTCAGGATCGTGTGTTTGTCACCTTGACTCAAGTGGCAGGTAGCCCTCTGGATGACTGAAGGGCACCTTCTGTGATCATAATCTTGCTTGTGCCTTATTACAGCTTCCATCCGGCAAACAAGGAGACCGGATCGGGAACAGTGTCCAGCCTAAAGTGCTCAGCCAGGGTGGACAGAAAACAGAGATCACAGCTAAGTTCTGGATTGGTGTCTAAAGCTCCTTTCAAACGATTCAAAATTGAGTTTCTCTGTTAGTGGATGTGTGCATCACACAAATGCCACATTCATTATGATACATTACAGAGAGTCAGTGTCACAGAACGTGTAAGAGATTGAATTGCTCCTCCCCTTGTAGCTGTATAACCAACTTTGTGGGTAGTGTCTTCATTGGAAAGTGGACATAACGCTGCCACTGACCTGAACAGGACGCATGGGTGCTTGAAGGAATGAGTTTGAAACATGGTAAGCACAGTGCCATTCTGAGTACCAACTGGCTTGAAGAAGCAATAGCCTCAGGAGTGATAATGGGTATCTGGAGGTCTTGGCCAGTCATAACCTTGCCAAGTCATCATTTCTTCACCTGTAAAAGATGTATCACAGAGAACCCTCAGAAGTTTGTGAAAGTAATTTAGATGACATTTGTGCCTAGCACAGAAATGATGCTCAGTGAGTCCCACTTTTACACTCTCTTCGATGCTGGCTGCCATTTTTGTGGAGGGGATTATTATTGTGGAGGGGGCTATATCACACAGAGAAGTCAGAATGCAGAGGTTATATTGTGGTGGGAGTTATAATATAGGGGTTAATTGTGGAGAAGTTTACATGGGGAAAGAGTCCCCATTTGGAACTGGCTGTCTTTATGAAGAGAGCTAGCTCTTACCACTCAGCTCAGCTTAGATCCACTGTACCATCTCTCCACAGATATGGGACATTGACATCTCACAGGCACAGGTCTTTCAAGACTCATAGGTCACTTGGCTCTGACTATGCTGAAGCCCTTTCCCAAATGGGTAGATGAGACCTCTGCATGCTCGAAGTTGAACAGTGCCACACATCCACATGTCCACCTTTCAAGCGGGGGGAGTAAGTAGCCAACTGCAGAGACTGATGCTCCCTCAGTCTGGGCCAGATGTCCAGACAGTCTGAAGCATGAGATCTGCATTCTTCTTATAATCTCCCAGAGCTGCCTTTTGAGCTGGCGGTTTCTGTTTAATTGTTCTTTTGCTGGGGTCCTGAAGAAGAACAAACTATTACAGCTATCAGGAGGCTGAAGAGAAATTTCTCTCTCTCTCTCTCTCTCTCTCTCTCTCTCTCTCTCTCTCTCTCTACACACACACACACACACACACACACACACACACACACACACACACACACCTCTGAGTCTCTCCGATTTTTTTTTTCCTCAAGGGCTGCAGTCCCTCCCAAGGAGGGGACTGGCCAGCAGCTCTTCCAAGCACACAGTTCTGTCAGGTCCCTCTGAGTGTGCATAAGCTCCGTCAGAGAGGAGAGAGGGAGAGGGGGAGAGGGGATCTGTTGCAGGCAGGGGAAGGCGTGACCTGAATGGAGAATGCCAGCCAATTCCAGAGACACACAGGGACCTCAGAACAAAGATAAGACATCGCTGACACCACACCGGGGACGGGGACCAGCTCACAGACAAGTCGGGCAGACGGGACCAAGGCCAGGAGCATACCAGGCAGGAAAATGAGGTGAGTACCAGGTCAGGGGAAGGCACCGGGTTCCCTCTCCAAGACCAAGTGTACAGCAGTCCGCTGGGCTGGTCTGACCTTGTCTCTAAGCAGACTCACCTGCTTGCCCTCTGGGGGGCTGGGGCTGGGGGATTCTCATCAATCCTCAGGGCTCTGCAAAGGGAGCCTGTCCCTGGGGCACCTTCCCAGAGACTCCGGAGACTCTCGCAACTTGAAACCAGAGAGTTTGTACAAAGACTGTGCCTGGCTCTGCTGAGGCTCAGATTTCTCCCTCTGCCAGCACAGGGTGCTGCCTACTGGCCAATGTGATCCTCCTCCTCTTGCCCACAAGGCTGATTCTTCATTTTTCCTACTCGGCAAAGAGCAATGATTTCTTTCTCGCAACACTTTGAGAGTTAGATAATGTGTTTGTGTGTTTATTTCTTCTAAACGGGAAAGAAACCGGTTCCCCACAGCCCGGCTCATGGTTTCTTGAGCGTTCAGAAGTTTGCCAGTTAAACCTCAATTTAGAAAACTAAAAACCTGTCCCCATTTTACAGTTCCCTATAAATTCTGCATTTCTCACTGAAATCAGAGGCAGCTGGTGACATGAATCAGGCTATGAAATGCACCAAACGGCTCTTAAAGAGACACCACAGCTTTTTAAAGGAGTGTTTGGAATTCTGAAACCTGCCGCTTTAAATTCTAACAGGCTTGAAGCTCTTCAACATTTCTTGTGTCTTAGGTTGCTTGAGGCTCCTCACCAGGCATTTCGTATGAGCTTTCCCAGACTGTCTGAAACCCCAACTATCCTAATTATTATTTTTTTTTTATCACTTTAAGTGTCAAGGCTGCTAGAAACACTCAAAGGTAGCGAGAAAAACACTCCTTAGACGTGTTAAGTCTCCTCACGCCTATTTTCCCATTCATTTCCCCTTTAAATTGGGATTTCTGTTTGTTTCTCTTCTTTACTCACCTAGTAACCTTGCTGAGTCCAGGGCCAATAAGGGGTTTCAATCTGTGTAGCTTTGAATTCCATGTACCTATGGCTCAGAGGAAGAGAAATCTCTAGAAGTTAATTTCGTCATCCTGATCTTCGTAAAGTCTTTTAACCTGCCAGAAATTTTCGTTTTCCTTTCTTCTAAAACAATGGCTTTTTTTTTCCCCCTTTGTATGATCTGCTTTATCTGTGTCTCAGCCATTCCAAAGCCTGTGCTTAACCCTCGATTTAGAACGACCCTCCCACTCATTTCCCACCTAGAACTGACTGGGCAGGCTCCACGTTGCTTCCTCATTCCTAATCCCCACCCCACCCCCGACATGGCACTTCTTCCTTTGTTCACATCTGTGACTGGATTTCTTATCGTCTTGGGAATGGCTGCTTATTTGAATGTCCACTTCCCCTTCCAAGAGATGTGATCAATGTCTTCATCTTTGTAGAATGTCTGCATGTTCATGTGACCAGCACCTAACGCCATGTCCCTTCCCTAGTAGAAATTCAATAAATATGATTGAGTTGAATTCAGTTACTGAGTATCAAAAAGAAGTTTTAGGAGAGCATGGTACTAGCTGTCCCCGAAGGGTCTGGACTCACCAGCATACAGCACTTCAGAGTTTGCAAGACACTTTCCCGAGCATTGTCCCCTCTTGGCTTCAGATTTTGTGTGACATCAGAATTAATGGACACAGGAGATAAAAGCAGTTAAGCAACTTGCCCAGAGCCACACTGATGATCTTGAGAAGGCCCAGACTCAGTCTTGTGTCTTTGGACTCCAAGCACTTTCCTGCTGTGTTCTACTAGGCTCTCAATCCCAGCTGCAGATTACAATGGCCTATGGTACTTAAGGAATGCCAACCCCCAGGCAATAGAACAGAATTTCATGCACAGGGGGGTGGGGGTGGGGAGGTGTTCAAACATTAGTATTTTTTTTTTAATTTCCACATAAAGCTATGGGTTTTTTAAATTATTTTTCACAGGATTAATTGCTTTGGCCAGATGCCTGGGCATGATACGGGCATGGACCCAACTTCTTCTGGGAGCTTTTGTTATTCTTCTCTGCTGTTGAAGTTAATTCGCCATATGGTATTTGGCATGATGCGCCATCTCTTAGGGTATACTTTTCATCGTCTGTCAAGCGAGGGTGGTGAATAAGGGGGCAGTGCCATCTCTTCCAACCCTGAATCTTAAAAATGGAGTGGTGGTGGTGTGTACACTGAAAAGTGGAATGAATGGAGACGCTAGGGTAGTGCCATTCATTCATCCCACAATCTGACACACGTGGCTTCTTTATGCATCCCTGATAGCCCACTCTCCCCGACAGAGACGATGAAATCCCAGCTCTCTATCTCACTTTTGACATTTCAAGCAAATGTAGCTCAACTTTTTGATCAGCTGGAGGATAGATAACAGGTGTCAGGAATTGTACAGCCGGTGCCTGGTGCCTCCGAAGCCAAAACATGAGTGTGATGAGAAATGAAAGCTGCCACACACATCCTTTGATTCCCAGCCCCTAAGGCAAGCAAGCAAGCATATGCTCCAGCCTCTTACATGAATGGAGAGAACTGCTTCGTGTGTCCAAGTCTGCCTTGAGATGCAAAGAACAGAGCACTCCACAGGCCTTTCATAGACACTCACCAGCTGCCTACCACACAGCACTGGGGCCTGGGCTAAGGGGTCAATCAACTGCCAGCCCCCACAGAACTGGCCTGAGGAGGCTTTCTCCCCTGTGTGTTCTGGAAAAAACAGACGTGAATAGAAGCAACCTTTCAGCCTTGTGTAATCCCGTTGTCATTATGGCAGGGAAGGCACGGTTGGGAGCCAAAGTTTCCACTTTCAGAAAGTAGCAGCATGCTGGATCATCAGAGCAAGCCTTTACCTAGGGCCGGATACGTAAAGCTCATACCAGTGTTCCTGTGCAGAGCAGCCCTGTGGGAAGTCATTCTTCCTGTTGTATATGAGATGAAGAAATCAATGGAGAAGTGCCACCACTTCCCTGAAGTGGGTAGGAGAGGTAAAGTCAGGGACTAGCATTAAATCTGTTCCTCCATGCCAGGCACAGCTGAATCTGCACTCTCAGGTCTGGAGACAAAAGGCACAGACACTAGCTTGTAATTCCAGACCCTGAGTCTCATTAGCTAGCCAGCCTAACCTAAACAGCGAGCCCCAGGTCCCAGTGGAAGATGCTGTCTCCAAAAGGAAGGTGGACGGCTTCTGAGGAAGAACGCCTGAGATGTATCTCTGGCCTCCACACTCATGCACACACATATGCATACATACATACATACACACACACACACACACACACACACACACACACACACACACACACACAAGCTCATGCATGCACATGCAGGTGCACAGGCAAAAATATCAGAAATGAGCACAGGAAGATGTTAGAGCAGCTAAGGAGTCATGCTGGAAATGTTTGAGTTCAAGGTCCTTGGGCCTTGCTGGGAAAGTGCTATGCTGTGACCTGACCGTTAGGACTATGACCAGCCTTAGTTACCCTGCCTCGGTATTGCATCAGCCACATTTGATACTGGGTTTTCCATGTCCTGCTTTGTGACTCTCTTAGCTGTCCATTACTTCTCATTTCTCCAGAAATGAATTCTAAACTTGATTCCTATAGAGCACTCACCAAGACATGTTTTGTTCACTCTCTTTATCAAGATTTTTTTTTATATATGTTGACTGGTACATAGCCAACAACTTCTTTCAGAATATTAAATGTGTTCAGTGTCTGTAGATTTCTCCACTGAGTTTGGGTTTTATCGCAATATTAGTTATTATCACTTATATTTTTAAAACTACATAATTGTGGTTCCTAAGTGAGGAGCAGTTGAAAAAGTAATACCAATTATCGCCTACTTATAATAGTTATGCTTCCAAGAGTAGGAGAACATGTGTCAGGGTCCCAAGTGTACTACTTTATAGAAAACTTCAGTATGCATATCAATGTTTCAAAAGACCAAAGCTAAAAGCAGTCTGAGAAATCATCTAGTCACTTTATCCAAACATCCTGCAGACCCAGTGAGCAAGGCCTCAAGAAGAAAAGTGTGAGAGCAGCTATTTAACTAGCTCAAGGCTGGGGACCTGCAATCATCAATGTAAGCCAAACCTCATTTGTGTCTTCCAGGCTGCTCCTTCTCTACCATGCTCTGTGCCTAGCCCTGCTGGAGGTTTCAGCCCATACCGTGGAGCTAAATGAAATGTTTGGCCAGATTCAGTCCCCTGGCTATCCAGATTCCTATCCAAGTGACTCCGAGGTGACTTGGAATATTACTGTCCCTGAGGGGTTTCGGATCAAGCTTTACTTCATGCACTTCAACTTGGAATCCTCCTATCTTTGTGAATATGACTACGTGAAGGTGAGACACCCCCCACCCCCACCCCGCAAGGTTCTCTAGCTAGGTGTAGAGCAGGCATCATCCTCACCTTCATGGGGATGCATCTACTGAGGGAGCTACACAAGGAGACAGTGCAATGAAAGATGTAATAAGATGTAATGGGAGTGGTATGCCAAGTTCAAGTCTATGAGAGCTGGTGGCATGATTGGGCATTCGGCTAGACACATCTCTTCCCCCCACTCTATTCTCAATGCCTGTAAAGGATCCAATAGCCTCTGATCCAACATCCCAATGAAGGGTATAGACCCCAGAAGAAGCAGTAACCACAGAGAATCCTAATTATGTCTGACACTGAGGTATTAGGGAGCACTGACAAATTCTTTATGTAATGATCACATGTTTAGCACTGTAGACTGTGCAGCCGTCAAAAGTAAGGAGTAAGGTGTGGATGGAAGGTTGGTGTGTGATTCTGCAGACCTTGAATATCATGTCAAAAAGTTCATATTTTGTTAGTCAAGTGCATGGCCAGGGAAGGGAAGTGATTTTTAATGGGAAATATTAAAAATGTAAAGGGAGAGCAGGAGAATATCACAATATACAGACAGTATTCCCTGGAATTGCCATGGGTGGGAAATTCTGGTTTTAAAGTGGGGCTAAACTTGGCATGCATGTCTGCAACTCCAGGACTTAGAGTCTAGGGACAGGGCAATGGTGAGTTCACAATTAGCCTTTGAACAAACTCAGGTTGTGCCTTCAAAAAATAAGACAAAAATTTAGTAATAATAATGTAGGTCTGAAAAGGTTCAAAATATTCTACAAGACCAAATTCATTCAGGCTGTACCTACTTCAAAAAGCTTTCAGTGAAAACTGAAAAATCAACTTTCTTTTTTTAATGTATTTACTTATTTATTTTTATGTGTATGAGTTTTTTGCCTGCGTGTATATAAGTGCACACTACATGTGTGCGGTGCCCACAGAGGCCAAAAGAGAATCCACTGGATTCCCTGGAACTAGAGCTACAGGTGGTTGTGAACTACTGTGTGGGTGCTGGTCCCAGGGCTGTCGGAAGAGCAGTATGGGCTATCTCTCCGGTCCCATGAAGCACCCGCTAAGTCCTCTCTGACGTCCAGGAAAAGGTTCCCACCAAATAACTCTAGAGTCAGCTTTCTACATTTTAATCACTAGTCTACCCTTATTTTCCCACAGCCTGTCACTTAGCAACACTTAACCATGTTTGATTAACAGCAGCAAAGTGGTGAATTTACAAGGACCCTTTATAGTTATCATCTCATTCAAACTCTATCCAAGTCTTGGGAGACATGAACTCCTATCCTGTTTCACAGCAAAACAAACCCAGAAAGGGTAAGTGACACAGGGTAATTCATCTGGAAGATGGCAGCTCAAGATACCAACCCATGCCATGCAAATTTGAACCTGAAGCTTATTTGACCACACTGAACAGCTCACAAGCTGTGCTCCCCTGAGTCCATGGGTGCAAAACATTACAAGAGGCACAGAAAATGCTGAGTGGAGCTGTGGACCCCTCCTGTGTCCTGGCTCATTTTATATAGAGAGCATTGCTGTGGCATCATAGTATTCCATGTCAGGTTTCTCAGTGTCAGCATTGTTGACATCTGGAGCCAGGTCATTCATTGCTGAAGAAAGAGGTCTTCAGCACTGAAGGATATTTTTTTTGGGGGGGGGAAGATTCCATGGCTTCTATTGGATGTCAGTGGCTGTTCCACCAGGTTGTCATAACCAACAATGTCTACAGACGTTGACACTATCCCAGAACCATTGCTGTATGGGACATTACCAATTGTCTGAATGCTCCATGCTATGGACAATAGGATTCAAAATATCTGACTCACGAGAAGAAAGATAAACCTAGAGAATATGAGCTCTCGGCCGGGCGGTGGTGGCGCACGCCTTTAATCCCAGCACTCGGGAGGCAGAGCCAGGCAGATCTCTGTGAGTTCGAGGCCAGCCTGGGCTACCAAGTGAGTTCCAGGACAGGCGCAAAGCTACACAGAGAAACCCTGTCTCGAAAAACCAAAAAAAAGAGAATATGAGCTCTTGCTACTTCAAAGTGTGCTTGAGGTCACTTGTAGAATGAGTCGCTGTCCTGAAGTCCTTGTGAATTAGATACATCTGTCCAGTTCCTATAGGGAAAGGGATTCACGTGGGGGAGAGTTTACATGGCTGACTCTCTAGAACACCCTCCTAGCATCATAAGCAGCTCCCTGCAGAGGTTCTGGCAACCATGAGACAGGAACAGGCCTTCACACATCTGTAGGCAGCTGGTGCTCACAGAGACAAAGGCCTGTGAGCTTGTCCACACATGTGTAATAGTTTCCCTCTGAGAGTCAAGAACTCACAAAAGTTAAGCTTCAGGGCCTATAGAGGTCCACACTCTCCCATTTTACAGAATCATGCTAAATGTTACTGTGTCTTAAGTATTCTCCCCCTGATGAACATGTTCTAATTGCCCTTAAGTTTGGTCCAATACAGAGAAAGACAGACGTGGAACTGTTTGGGTTTAGATGAGCCTTAAAGCTCCTCTACCTGCTCGTTGACCTTGATCGCCCTACAGCACTTCGAGGCCCAGTGCTTGAATTTAGAGCTCCAATTAAGTTCTCATTGGCTGAAATAAGAGACTGAAGTTCAGAATTCAGGGAGAACACTAACACTCTACCTGTAAACTCACAAGTCCTGAAGTCTCACACAGAGTTGAACCTGTTCTCCTTTCCTAGGTGCCTTCACAACCCCAACTCCCAGGATAGCTACTATGATTGACTTTTAATGAGAATCTCTCCTCTTTCCATCTGAATACAAGCACAAACTTGCCATGTGGCTCCAGGATAAGTCAACAGCACTCTCCCAAATTCTGTTTGTCCATCTGTTCAATGTGGGATTGCATCACTTTTCTTGGGGAAACATGAGCAAATGTCTACCCTCCCTGCTAGGAATCCACAACTGACCAGAGGAATAATTCTACCAAAGTCCAAGTTGGTGAACCTGTGAGTTCATTGGGGTTACTTACAGGAGGATGGATGAGGGGTCACTTACAATGAGTCAAAGGCAACAGCACCACCCAAAACCTACCTCAGAGGGCGACAACTCATGAAAGCCACACCCTGGGGCCCTGTGCGACTTGCAAACTGTTGGAGACAGGCTGGAGAGACTCTTGCAGGTAGCTCAGAAGGTGGGAGTTTCTCTTCTACCTAGCAAGGCCTAGTGAATCTTGTTAGTTTCAGTAACTTCCTAAACCTTGTATAATGGCTTACTTTCTGAATCTTATGGCGTTTCCTCCAGAAGAGAATGTTGCAGCATGGAGGAAATTTATGGAACAAAAAGTAGGATGAGATGATCCCTAAAGTACCCTAAATTCTGGACTCTCCTTGCAATCTTACTTGCCAGAATTTTCCAGATGACCCCTCCAAGTCTTCATTATCCTATTTAGCCAATTCTCAAAATTCCATGGCCATTAGCACTCTAAGTAGAGCCTACACTCTTCAGGGGAATGCATTAGTGACTCTCTACTTGAGTCAAATTGTACACATAGCATACCGCCACTGTTCTTTACCAAGTAACTTAAAATATCTTTAGTTTCCTTTGGCAGAATAACATCCTGGATTATTTTGAGGATTTTTTTTTTTTTTTTTTGCTCCGTAGCTGAATTTTCCTTGTAGCCAAGGGGTAGGTTTAAAGGACTACCCAACTCACAGGAACCCTTTTCAGTCCAACCCACATCATGATCCTCCCTTCTCACTCACGCCATCAGGGTGACCATGAGGGAACTGCTGACACTGAGTGTCATCAGCCCAAAGAAAAACAGGACCTCAAAGCTGTGGGACGGATGCTCACATTTATGCGAATTCCTCCCCAGCCCGCTTTCCCGCAGTCTTCAAGACACGTGCACATCTGCACAGCAGCATCTGCTTATTTGGAATGTGCTGCCATGGTGGAGTCCTGCAGTGCACAGATGAGGCGTATGCAGCACAGCTGGTGGGGCCAGCCCAGATGTTAGGCAGTGGAGCTGCAAGTCTCAGTTTTGCTGATCACTCCACTACCACACTAGCGTTAGGCAAGCGGCTTCTTCTAGAAGGAATCTCTCCTTGTCCATCTTCCCTTCCCCTGTCAAAGAGGGAGTTGATGGACATGCTCTGTAAGGTCCATCTAAGCTCAGTATTCAACGACCTTAGAAATCAAGGTCTAACTCCATCAACATCATGTCAAAAGATTGGGGAAGTACAATTCATCAGCCCATGTCAGGCCTAGAGCAGAATTTACATCTGAAAATAGTCAATCTTGCCAGGAGTGGTGGTAACCACCTTTGATCCCACCATTCAGGAGGTAGGAGCCAGTGGATCTCTGTGACTCTGAGGCCAGACTTGTATATTTAGTTCCAGGCCAGCCAGGGTTTGAAGAGAGACCCTGTAAACCAAAAATGTCTATATCTTTTCTTCTTTTAGATTAATTAAGCTACAGGAGAGCCCCATCTTATGAATATCTAGATTTTAAGTTGCAATATGTTGCCAATGTTGCCAGTAGTCAAATTGTTAAAACTCCCTTAGAAGCCAGGCAGTGGTGGCGCACGCCTTTAATCCCAGCACTCAGGAGGCAGAGGCAGGTGGATTTCTGTGAGTTCGAGGCCAGCCTGGACTGCAGAGTGAGTTCCAGGAAAGGCACAAAGCTACACAGAGAAACCCTGTCTCGAAAAAAAACAAAAAACAAAAAACTCTCTTAGAGTTGAATTCTATTATATAGCCGGGAAATACAGGATTTTCCCAGAAAAGGAAACAAATTCCATTGAACTAAGCATCAGATCAAATGATTGACAAATAAAGGAATCATGAGGTGGGAGTTGTGGAAATGTGAACCTCAAGGCATGGAAGATCACAGCCCCATTTCAATTTCAGTCATGCCCTCTGCTTGTTAAAAAGAAGACACATAGCATTTCAGTCCAGCATCAGCTTCTCTCTCTCTCTCTCTCTCTCTCTCTCTCTCTCTCTCTCTC